GGAGCCCTGGCCCAGGCTGCCCAGGGAGGTTGTGGAGTCTCCTTCTCTGGAGATATTCCAGACCTGCCTGGACGCGGTGCTGTGCCCCCTGCTCTGGATGACCCTGCTTGGGCAGGAGGGTTGGACTAGATGACCCACAGAGGTCCCTTCCAACCCCTACTATTCTGTGATTCTGTGAAATCTTCATCTATTTACCGAGGCCTGGGTTGTAGTTCTGCAGCTCCTGGGGTTCTGAAGATAAAGTCCTCGATCAATGAAATGCTTTGGTGCCTTAGAGGTGATGCACCGTGTTTTAAAGCACTTCTGCGTGGGTTAAAATCGGTGACCTGAGTGTCACTTTAGTTCGAAAACCGTTTCTGCACCGCGGACCTTCCGTGGGCAGCGAGCTGCTGGTGATCTCCTCCGCAGCAGCCCTTGGTGGGGTTTCTGCTCCTGCCGCTGCAGCATCGGTCGCCAAGGGGTTTACAGGGGAAGCAATTTTAATACTTGCACAGAAGTTTATGTTGTCAGTTTGGGTGAAGAAGCAGGGATAGTAGGCAAACTCGAAGTCTAACCAGTGACTGGCTGTGAGTAGCGCTCACCAAGTACGAAGGTGACTATCATCCCACAGTCATTCTGAAGGGATTTAAAATGTTTAAAAATAGCTCACAGAATATTGATGCTAAACTTGAGTCATACTTGTTTCTTTTGGAAAAAATCCAGCCGTACGGAAGATCCCAATTCATCACCTTGCTTTCAGGATGAATTCTGTTTGGGTTTTTTTTATGGCGCAGAGTCAAATCAGGATTAATTTGGGGCTTGTGTGACATGGTGAACTTGGGTTTTGTGGCGAGAAGCGTGCTTGGCCAAAAACGTTTCTTCTCTGACTTGTCTTCAAAATGCTCCGCAGGTGAAACCAGACTCCTACAGTATATCCACAGAGCTGAGTATTGCCACAGGCTGCCAGAGGAAGCAAAAGAAATCCTTCATAATGAAGTGATTCTGAAAAGTGGCCTGAAATATATGCGTTTATGAAGGCCACAATTGTAGGATTTTTGCTTTCCAGTCACACAGAAAGATCCTTTAATGTGTTAAAGATCTTAGCTTCTGAAAAGCGTGCAGTAAGGCAGAATCTGGGTAGAATGTGGGGAGAGAGAAATGCGTACGTTGCAGCCTGTGTTTGAAATTCTGGCTCGGGTCAGGAGCCTCTGCGTGAGCCCGGGAGGAGGAAGGGGCAGGGAAAACTTTGTCACGTTCTTCTGAGCTAGAAAACAAGAAGTTCCCGGTATCACCTTGACTTCCTGAAGTCAAAACCAAGTAGAAATGAAGGGCGATGCTGCCATAACCAAGGATTGGTTTCCTGTTTGGGTGCTGCCCGCAGCAGCCGCTGGAAGTCGGCAGCACTCAGGCACGGGTGCTGGGCTCCTGCATGTGGGTGCTGGGCTCTGGCGTGTGGGTGCTGGGCTCCTGTGGCCCAACCGAGAAGGCACCACCGAGTTCATCCCTGCGCTCCCGCAGCTGTTACAGCGTTTTCCCTTGACTGAAATTTTTGTTTCGTTTTAGAATGATTGGAAGTGTTTAATAATGAAGTTCCACAAACTGAGATGATGAAGCACAGGGCTCACCCCGCTGGAGAGGGAAGCCCCTTGCTGGTGTTCAACGCGAGGGCGGATGGGTGGAAGTCAGCTGGTGCCATCCCTGAAGCCGCGTTCTCCGTGTGGTCCGTCCTAGTGAATGTTCAAAAAACAAACCTTTCAGAAGGGAAATTGTCGTCTAATTCTGGATTCCTTGTTTTGGAACAGAGCTGCTGATTCTTTCATTTTTCCTGGCAGCAGATCCTGCCCATTGTATGTGGGCAGCCAGCAGGATGTGCTGCCAGCCCGGCGAAGGTGCTCCGAGGTTTAGCCAGCAGAGCTAATCTGGTTACTCATGGTAACAAACAGCCGCTTTGTTTAAGGAAAATCAAACAGCAGGGAAGGCGAGCTTGAATTTTGTCTCATGTTTCGGGTGGATGTCTCCTCGCTTCCGCTGAAACCTCTCCAGAGTCCAGGAACGCGGACTTGCTGCTTCGTCACGAAGCGAGCTGCCCTGCACGGCATCCCCTGCCGCCAGCTCCACCTCCACCCGCACGCGTGAGTCAAGGTTTCTGTTGCCGTTTGGGCACTGGAACTGACTCACTCGTTCTGTTGCGAGCGTCCAGGTTTTTATGGCTCTCGATGTCAGGTTTGTTCCTGTTCCTTCCCTGTCAGCCTTTCAGGAGGGTGCGTTTCCACTGGTCTCGTGGTCTCGTGGCTTTGACCTGCGCTGGAGCTCAGCCCTGGGTCAGGACCGGTTCGTTTTAGAATGATTGGAAGTGGTTAATGATGAAGTTCCACAAACTGAGATGATGAAGCACAGGGCTCACCCCGCTGGAGAGGGAAGCCCCTTGCTGGTGTTCAACACGAGGACCGGTGTGCTGGTGGTGGACAGGACCCTGCTGGGAAGTCAAGGAGATCTCAAATACTGTTTAGATGAAGCTTTATTTTTTTTTTAAATCTCCGGTGCTGGTTTAATAGAGCCCCTTCATTTTATACATGGAAATGTAAATTCTTTCCCTGTGGAAGATAAACAGTTTTATCTGAGGAATTCTCATCTGCTGTTTCCAGATGCACAGAGAAGACTTCTGGCCTGGAAGGAGCAGTAAAATGAAAAAGCGAGGGGACCAGTTTTAAACCCGTGAGGCGAGAGCTGTTGTGGCTGCCCCGCTGGCGGCAGATTTTTTTTAGAGCCAGGCAGTGAGCTGCAGCAGGGCCCTGCCGCCGGGCTGTGTTCCGGGCTGGGCCGGGCGCGAGGGCTTTGCTGGAAAGAAGGAAAGAAATAAAATGAATGAGGCTATAAAACACTTAGAGAATGCCAACTGGGGGCATGTGCAATACATTTTTAAAATCTCCCAGCAGGCTAAGGTATAATAATTAACATGTCTAGAATAAAAAACACCATCTTCCCACTCTCCAACATCTTGGTTTTTTGCTTGGAATGAGTAAAGGCAGTTCCTTCTGGCCATGCCATCCCCGAACAGAAAATGGCACCGGCATTTATGCGGCATGTCGTATTCCATGTGAAGTACACTACCAGCTGTCTTCAAAAGAAGAGAAAAGTTGTTTGAAGAGTCAGTTTGAGATTCACCAGCTGGACTGTGCTTGGAGCCTAACCTGCTCCCTGTCCCCACCCCGGAGCTGGCAGCGGGGTGTGAAGAGTCGATCCGGGGAGCTGTCTGGCTGCGAAGGAACTCTTCCTGGCAGTGTGGTTTGGGTCAGCCTGGCTGCTGGGCGGGTTTACACCCCGGCTGGACCGGGCTTCGGGCAGGGGAGGGCTGGTGAAGAAGTGAGGAGCTGCTTTGGCAGCTGCCGCCGAGAGCAGCACACGGAGCTCTGCATTCCAGTGCTTGTGGTGGGCAAAATGCTGTACTGACTCAGCGCAAAACAGCTCCAAAGTACCATTTTTAGGTAATTCAATAGTTTTGTTGTCTTTATTCGTTAAGAGGGTGATTATAGCTGCAACAAAGAATTGTTCAGTTTTGGTTTTAGAAGCAGTCTTTTAAAATGCACTGATGAATTCAATCGAAAAGCTTTGTACCAGCCGATACCTGTTATGCCAGAACCCTTATGTGAGTCCTGCCCAGTGCAGCAGAAAAGCTTCACCTTCGGTTCTCAGAAGCCTTCCTTTCCCAGGGGACCAGCTCCGTTCCTGCTTCCAGTGGACTGGTGCCAGTCTGGCGGCTATTTTATATCTAGGCAGCTGAGAGCAGAGTCCGGCGTCCCCAGGCTGCTGCTCGGGCTGTGCTCTTTGCCGTCTGGTGTCGGAGGTGTGGGCAGGGCCCGGTCTCCC